GCTATAGGAAATAGTACAGCTTATAAAATGAGTCAGATCAACGTAGGCCGGTAAAGGCTATCACTGATTGGCATGCTCTTAAGCCAATCGGGAAATGTCACAGACCTACTGAAGGATGTGTAGATTGTATAGGAATTCTTTTTGGCGGCAAAGGACAGGCTTATGTGTTTTAATAAAGGTGATTTCCAAAATATAGAGATGAAAAGTTGACAGACCATTTTCAATAATTTTAAACCTGCTATCCATGTAGTTGTCAGCACAAGTTGGGTTCACTAGTAAATGCTGGCCAATCGCTGATTCACATTTTGGTGGAAGAACTTTTGTTTTACAGGAGCGACATGGTAAATTCTTTTCTTTCACATTCTTATTCCTTATGGATGTGAGTACATTTTGTTTAATTATATCCTGCAGTCTTTCTGAATTAACGAAGTGGTTTTCGGAAATTTTAGAACAGGTGTTAACGTACTTTCACAAAACTGTATTCAAGACTCCTTTTCTTTTGCTACAACCATACAGAACTTTAGCCTTGACCCTAAACATTCGTTTTTGTGTTCCTTCGACATCAGCAGTCTGTTTACTAATGTACCCCTGGAAGAAACCATAAACATTTGGGCAGATACTTTCTATGGTGGAGAAGTTCAGTGACCTCCAATACCTAACGACCTGTTTATTGAACTGATGAATACTGCGACACGTTCTGTGGAATTCAGCTTTAATGATATCATGTATCAACAGATTGACGGAGTCGCCATGGGTTCTCCTCTTGGACCTGCCTATGCTAATATTTTCGTTGGTTTCCATGAAAAAGAACTATTCAACAAAGTTACCAGACCTGCTGTTTACTTCCGCTATGTAGACGACACATTTGACATTTTTAAAACTGAGCGGGAATGTGAGTGTTTCTTGCAAGACCTAAACTCGTTGCACTCGGCTCTCAAATTTACTTTCGAAAAGGAACAACATAACTCTTTACTGTTCCTAGACGTCTTAGTTGAAAAAGATGACTTTCGTTTTCTCACCAGTATATACAGAAAACCTACCTTTACAGGACAATACACACGATGGGATTCTTTCAGTCATAATAGTTGCAAAACGAACCTTTTTGCTACTTTAGTCCATCGGGCTCTAGTTATCTGTTCAAAACCTAAACTAGATTTCGAATTGAAGACAATTAAAACTATTTTACTAGAAAATGGGTATCCATCAATCAAATTACTTTAAGGAAAATTGCGAGCTTCTCAACTGCCCCAAAATTTGGTCCTAACAAATGTCCTGTTTACCTAAAACTACCATGGATTAGTAACATTTCAACAAATATTGAAAAACAATTGAAAACGGCCATTACTAAATGTTTTTCTGAACCCCTACTGTGCTTATTCCACACGTAAGCTGTTGCCTGCAACACACAAAGATGCGATATCTACCACACAGAAAAGTATGGTTATTTATGAATTCTCGTGCCACTGCGAATGTCGGTACGTAGGTCACACTTCACAAAGATTGCAGAATATAATTAACCAACATGTACTCACATCCATAAGAAATAAGAGTGTGAAGGAAAAGAATTTACCATGTCGCTCCTGTAAAACAAAAGTTCTACCACCAAAATGTGAATCAGCGATTGGCCAGCATTTACCAGTGAACCCGACTTGTGCTGACAACTACACGGATAGCAGGTTTAAAATGATTGAAAATGGTCGGTCGACCTTTCATCTCTAGATTTTGGAAGCCACCTTTATTAAAACACATAAACCTGTCCTTTGCCGCCAAAAATAATTCCTATACAATCTACACATCCTTCAGTAGGTCTGTGACATTTCCTGATTGGCTTAAGGACATGCCAATCAGTGAATGCCTTACCGGCCTACGTTGATCTGTCTCATTTTATAAGCTGTACAATTTCCTATAGATAATTGTTCAGACGGTTCTGCTATGATTAGTGTCTGGCGAAAAAGATTCAGCAGATATTTCTTTTGCAACATCTCA